GTATTCGATTTTTGTCATCAATTTATTATCATGATTGCCATTTTTACCTAACTTATCGTGTGGATGCATTTCTCAATTTTCTAGGATATGCTTTTGTCAAATTTTCTAACCGAGAAATGGCATTAGCTGCAATCAAAGGACTGAATAGAACCTTCACGATGAGAGTAAAGCTAATTTATTTATTTAATTCATACATGTTACTCTGTGCAGTTTCAATTTTTAACTAAAGTCTTATTTTTTAATCACCTAGGGTTGTGATCATCCATTAATTGTTCGTTTTGCGGATCCTAAGAGACCTAGAACAGGAGAGCCCAGGTTTTACTTTTTCATCCATCTATCTCTTATATAAATATGTTTATTACACCTTTTATTATTAATAAATTAATAATACATCACAAGTTAGCAAGTAGATTTACATGTTGCAATCTTTGATTTTTATTTATATTTTTATCTAGAGGGAATGGGACTTTTCAGTTCAGCAAATTTATTTTCTTGGCTAAATGGCAACGAGTCTTTACTTAGTATATGAAAATAAACTGTTTAAGGGTGCATATTTTCTAGTGTGAGCCAGGCTAGATTAGATTGGTAAAGTGGACAAGGTGGACTGTAAACTAGTTCACATCTTAGAACAAGTCAATAGCAATCTGAACTGGCTGGTTTCTCCTAAACTGGTCTAGTTGAAACATGTTTGATAGTTTAATCGATTCTTAACTAGTTTGAATCTGATCTCGTTGGTTTTTTTGGTTACTTCTACCTAGAATCCCATAATACATAGCACGTGAGATTCAAATTGCAAACCAAGATTCTAACACACTGTTCTTATGTCAAAACCATACCAGACATGCTATACTTGAATCAGGGTATGTTTAATGCAAGATTCTTGGGTGGTGCTTAAAATTTTAATCAACACTCTCTAAGTGGTGTTAAACTGTTATGCTTTTAATATATTAGTCATATTTATGAAAAAAAGTCCTGTTATAAAAAGGAATTTGAACTCTATTGTTGTTTAACCGAACTCAAATCATACAACTATGTATTGGTTTCCCTTTGTTGTTCAACCAGGAGATAAGTTTAGGAATTGTATTTATGTTCTATTACTATGTATACTTCTTCAGGAGCAACTCTGTATCTGTGAATGCAAATTTTGGACCCTGTTCTCAGGAACCAGCAGTATGGTTTGTTTCGCTTCATTTGCCCCTTCTTCTATATTAATTACGAAACACATGACTTGCTAAATAAATTGCAAATTATTGTCTTTTCACAGGCCACTACCAAATTTTGGTGATCCCAATTGTGGAGGAAGTATGTTGCCTATTGCCCCACATCATTCCTCAATGTCACACCCACAAGTTAATACTCATATGCAAAACTGGGAACCTGGTGCTACTGTGGTACAACATCCATTTCCCCCACAACAATTGCATTCACAGTTGGGTTCAATGCCTTTCGGGTCAATTCAAGCTCCAAAATTGCCTTCTCAGACTCAGCCATTTATTACTGAGGCGCAGAGACAATCACATCCAGCAGATTCATTAGTTCAAAATATAGAGCAGCACCTTAGTTCACAGGTTAGTTACTAACAGGTAATAATATGCATTGATCATTATAAGTCTCTCTTTTATGGAAATTTTGGTCGAGATTTAAGTAAATTTCTGTTATTAAAGAGGTGAATTGGTTTAGCTGAATTGATATTATTATCTATTGTACTCATAGGTATATGTCTGTGCTTAACCTTTACTGCCTTTTAATCTTCAAATTATATTTTTAGTTCTCCCAGAAACATATGCAATCTTTGCTGTTACAAATTCAATGACAAACTCATGAATTTCTTGGGTGCTTCGCTGTCTCCTTTGTGAAGCATTTAAATTGTTGTGTCTTTCAGTTAAATTATGCATTGTTATAATTGAGGATGATTTTAGTCTTGTAAAAAGGTGTTGAGAGAAACTAAGAATATAAGAGAAAATTGTTCAGAGGGATCTCATGGTCAATACTATCTTTGAAAATTTGCTCTGTAATTGAACCCCATTACGTCGAGCAATCCCTGTTACCAACCTCGCCTGGGAAGATAAGTCTTTGAAATTAGATTTAATTCAAACTCAATCTCACAGAATCAGTTAATAAGGTGAGGGTTGCACTCACTTATATACTATAATTTGACTAATATCTTTAATATGTTAGATCTCTGATACACCTCTTCATGCTGGGGACTTAGTGAGTGACATGATTGGTCCAACAAACCTTGTCAGGGTATACTTGGGATCTCCAACTGTAAGCATTATGCTATTTATTTAATAGAGGAATGGTATTAGAAGATTCCAGTTTATTTGATATAAGTAATGGCAAAATACTGAAGAGGCCATTCATTTTTTTATGCACCTCTGACAATAAATATATTGGAAATGTTTAAATGGATTATTTAATGCGACAAATTACTGTTGAAGAACCTTTATTGGAAGAAGACTGCAATACTTTTCTCACTTTATTGTTCTCCCAGCTGGCTAGTCAGACTGGAAGCAACCCTAGTACAGCTGCTGGCAATATCCCACCTGATATGCCTTCAAGTCCCCAAGATGAAGATTTTCCAGAGTGTGACTGGAGTGAACACTACTGCCCCGATGGTGTTAAGTACTACTACAACTGTGTCACTTGTGAAAGCAGAGTAATGTTTCAACTGTTTATCTTTTGTTCATACAATCTGTTTTTTGGATTTCTGTTACTTTGGTGTGTGATGGTTACTCTTGGAGCAGTGGGAGAAGCCTGAAGAGTATGCCTTGTACGAGAAAGAATCTCAGAAGCAGCCGGAGCTGGAGAATAATTGCTGCAGTCTTTCACAATTGTCGTCATGTTCCTCCCAACAAGTTGCTGAAAAACACCAGGTGCATTCTCATATGTATTTTTCCTATAACAAGTTCAGCAAAAATAAATAAAATAAAAACCTGATCAACAAACATGTTATATTTCAAGCCCTAATTGTTTGAAAAGTAATCTAACATTCTGTAGTTTTGCAGGAAACAAATCATGACCGCAGACAGTCAAATACAAGTCCTGTTGTTGCGTAGATGTGATGTTAATGTTTTTAGGCAACTGAAAGCACATGTTGTTCACAATTACTGTATAATGACCTTCAAATTCCTAGAAAACAAGCCTAACGTTTTATCAGGAGGTTGTACGTATTCTTATTGCCTCATTTATTTATTTCAATGGCTATTGGTAGTCTGTAAATTGGAAATATGCTAGTTTCCTAACTGCTCAGTCGCGTCTTAAAGGGATAAAATCATGGTAAGTAATTCTCGGTATATATCTAGATTATAAAAATGTCTTTGATTTTTTTGAGAGGCAAAGTAGGTTGAGCTTTTAACTCATGGGAGCCAGGAAAATCTCATGACTCAAACTTACTACCAGAACGAGACATAGTTTGAAATGTTAATGATACCCCGTCAGACTTGGGTTTGCGGAGTTTTATGCCCCTATATTGCTTGTTAGTGAGAAGAACGGGAGATCGATTAAAAGCCTAGCAGGGAGCTTGATAAGAAATGTGCCTCCACTGCCACTGTATGGTCTGCAAAATTCAGAACGGGTACCCACATATAGTTTACGTGTAAGTTTTCAACGCGTACTAATAATTATTGTTGATATTGGAATTGAACATGAATATGATGGCCTTTTCTGCTGCAGTGGTGCCATGTGCTAAATGGTGTACCCAAATGCCCGTCTCATTCACTTCGTGTTACCTTTCATCGTTGTCCTGGATTCTGTTGACTGTAGAGGTTCCTGTGGAGTACTCAGAAATAATGACATATAAGTCAAATGGATAACTTTTGAAATTGTATTTTTATCGAAGTTTGATAATGGTTCGCAAAGCCGGCAGGATCGTTTTCCAGTCATTTATTTGTCTGGGAGTAAAGTAATAGAAGATAGGTAAATTAAAAGACAAGAAGTGGCTGAGCAATTCAATGTGGGTTGGTAATTATTCCCTGTTCTTTCTGAATTGAAGAGTTCTAATTCGATGCAATGTATTTGCCACTTAATGGAGAGGGAGCGTATAATGGGAAGGAATAGCGGGCCCCCAGTGGCTCTTTGATGGTGGCGTATCATATGCATCCTCTTAGTGCGCGTTGGTCTATGCCTATATTAACTTACAATTATTCTCTTAGACGAGAGCCTCACCTGCTCTATATAACCAAACTTATGAAAGAGTACGACACCACCTATTATGGTGCTTTCACAGATTAAGCTAAAACTAGTCATTATGAAAATCTATTCCATCGTCCATACCAGATCACGCTTTAAATGTAATCCTTGTTCCAGTTTTCTTTTCTTCACTTCTCGTGCTTTTAAGTTCCACATCTCCAGTGAATCAATTCCATGGATGGATTTACATGACAAGCAACACTTTATGAGGTTAAATCACTTCCTATTTATTACCTCGTTACAATATTGGGTCAGATCTTTCACCAATGTATCCTTCAAATTTCAAGAAAATTTCCTACAATTTCCTTTTCCCTGGACTACAGGGACCAGACAAAGCAAGCAAACTTGCACCCACCATTATTCCCTTTCGAACGCACATTCCCTCCACAAAAAGAAACAAAAACACAAGACAAACGACGGGTCAGAATCTCACGATTAAAAAGAGGATAGAACCCTATTTGCCTTATTTTTATTTTGTTTTGTTATCATTTTCACACACAGTCCTATCCACCAACGGATACTCTTATTTGTCCTTTTATTTATTTTCTATCTATTAAATATCAGATATTGGATCGAAACAGGAAACTAGATCCTGAGACACGTCAACGAGAAAGCAGTGCCTGCACCGGATCAAAAATCTATCATGTTACGCTGATATTCATGCCAAGGCCCTATCTATATATTATATACGTGCATAAAGATAAAGTGGGTTTTACAAGCATGATTGATCCAGCCATCAAGGAAAACTAAAACTTAAATATATATATATATATATATATTCCAGTGCAGCTGTGGAGTTCTCATCTATACTCTCCTACAAAAAGTAATAATAAGAAATCACATAGTAACAGCAATGGAATTGTCATCTAGTCTTGTTTGAACATTTGTTGTGAAGGAACAACATCTTGAAGACGGCCATAGTCACTCAACAACGCTGTCTGTTGAGGAAATGTGACATTCTTTGGAGAGAGGAAACCCAGAGAAGACAATGCATCGACATGGAGCTGTTGTTGATGGTGCTGCTGATAATATTGGGACATGTAGTTCTCAGATCCAGACATTAGCGAACCAAAGTTGTTGGAGCGACCCATAACCGGGCTTGGATGAATGTGTTGACCTTCGTAGGTTGTCACCACAATGCTTGGGTCGCTAAAAGATCGCTCTACGCGTTTCTTCACATTACACGAAACACTGGTGCAACGATAGTAGCTCCTGTTCAAATGTCGAGAGCATTTAATTTATTTTTGGGTGGTTTAAACGAAACAAAATCGAAGCGAAAAGTGAGGATGCGAAGGAAGCAAAGCGTGTATTGCAGAATGAGATAAAGTGTTACCTGGGAAAGGGGCTGTTTTTCACAGCTTTTTGACCGTACTTTCTCCATCTGTACCCATCTTCCAGATGATCCACCTCGCTTTTCGTCATGAACGCGAATCTCGGTTCTCTCTGTCTCTTCTGATTTGTCTTCTTAGCCTTCAACCTAAACCCATCCCCGAAAACCATCAAATCTTATTAGAATCTTCCAAACATTAAATAAATCAACGTACCACTATTCCTCGCAAAAACAAACCATCACAAAAATATTATAGAAAACAAATACCCAGCCCCCGTCTTTTTCATCCCCTACCCCTAATTAGATTATCAAACACGTAATTCACACTCCACCGCCCCCAAGGTTTTTCTTCTGCCGATATGCCATGAGCCATTCAAACACCAAAGATCTTTTTTTTTTTAGAAAAAAATGCGAATCATAGGCTTAAATAACCAAATAACTACACAAAAGAATTTAAAAGGTGAGAGAAAATTAGAACATTAGAGAAAGAAACATACTGTTCCTTTGTCTTTTTGTGCTCATCATGTGTTTGGTCTACAGTTCTATTCTTTTGTTCATCGTTGAGAGCCTCACTGGACGCGGAGGAAATGGATGACGAGTTCGGAGTCGCAGGTTGCTGGTTGGTTACCTCGGGCCAATCTTTCTTAGTCTGAGGTGGTTCCTTATGATCAGAGGTTTGACGCACTTCCATGTTGGACCCTAAAGGCAAATCAAGCAGAGGACTGTATTCTTGCACACCCAGCAACTCCATAAACCCTAAAGAGCCCTTGTCATCAGAGAAATCAAGGAATGGATAATTGCAATGGAAGGACGATGACCCTATGGAATAATCCTCCTCCTTCTTCACACCCATCATCATCATCATCATCATCATCTCCTTATTATTATCCATATATATACTTATCTCTCAAATGCCCAATCTGAAATCCTTCATTCAAACAGCTACAAGAGCAGTGAGATAGATACGATAAATATATGATGGGGTCGATCGATCTGGTTAGGTGGATGAAAGAAGAGAGAAAGAAAGAAAGAAAGAAAGATAGATAGATATAGATAGATAGCGCGGCTTTGTGGGTTGGAAGAAAGTGAGAGGTGATTGTGGAAATGAGTTGGAAGCGAAACAAGCAAGTAGTAATGAATGAATATGAATACATACATACATATGTTCCATGGTTAAAGCCAAAAACAGTGACACCAAAGAGGCCACCGGCAATTGTAGGTTAGTGGGTGGTACGGACTACGTGGCAGCCGGTGGCATTCAATGCATGGTCGACGTTTTCATACGTAGCCTTTCATTGATTCATTGTGGGCGTGTTTCTGTTTCTGTGTGTGAACGGGGTTACGCTACCTCCTTCTCCAACGGAATCAAACACGTTATATATGGATTCTAATCCGCTTTACGGTGCAAAATACTCATAATAAACATACTTCTTTTCTTTTTCTTCTTCCTTTTGCTCTTCTCTTATGAATAACAAAAGAGAAATAATAACATGACAGTCTTTCTTTTATAGTCATTTCACGTGAAATGAATGTAAAAAATTTTAAGTGTGTTAAACAATATTTTCCATAACAAAACCATGGTTTCCTCATTTTCGTTCACAAATTACAATGTCAATGATTAAGGCCGTAATAGTTTATTACAATCTTACTACTTCATGTAAATAAGCTTTATCTTTTAAGAGTAGTTTTACTTTATGTTTATATTAACTAATGTGGAATTTTACTACGTAAGTTAAATTTTAATTTTAATTCAATACCAGTATAAAAAGTTCATACTAGAAACCAGAACTTTATTTTTCGAAAATGCTTGCGACTTTTGTACTCCCTCCCTTGCCAAAAATGGAGTATTTTGTGCCTAAGATAATATATTTTTTTTGGCAAATAATAGAGAAAGTATTCTTCTTTTGTCTTTTAAAACTATAATAAAAAACCATTAATTTACATGTATATATAAAGACACGTTATTTTTTTTTTATATTTGGATTATACGGTGAGATTAAGATATTAGTGTAGAGATGAAGTTAATTAAATTGGATAATGCGAAGTATATTAAAGAATCTACAGACGACACGTCTGCGACGGTGTTATGCAAATTAAACACCACATAGTTTTGGCCTATGTGTATATATAAAGTGAACTAGGTACATCCTCCTAAGTCCTATTTCTTTAGTATTATTTTTTCTTTTTGAGCTTTACGATCTTTAAATAAAAAATGACTGTACAAAGTTAATGAAGGGGAAAAGAAGGGTGCACGTGTGTTATCATTGTTAAAATTTTGTAACAACGTGATAAAAAAATATACGTCTTTATAATTTTCAATTATATATAATCTAATTACAAAATCTTGAATATGATCATAAAATATACACTATCTAAATTGGTGATCTCGACCCTATCACGCTCATGAGAAACTGAAATTTCAGATTTAAAAATGAAGAGGAGAGAAAACATTAATTGATAAAATGAATATTTACACGTAAACATTTTAAAAATACTTTTTAGAAAAATATTGTAAAAAAAAAAAAGTTAAACCAAATCTTGGAACGACAAGCATACAAGGAATACGACAATCACATACAAATTGAGTGATTCGTTTCTGGTTAAACCGAGAATTTATACCAAAGCGAGGGTTCACAAGTAAATGAGATTATACCCTATTACCGATCTAGAAGCAAGAGAATATATTGAAAGTCTTCTGCTTTTTAATGTGTCTGCAAAAATGTTTCTATTATTGTAAATGGGACTTCACATTTTTATAAACTTTAAATTAATTTTTTTGATAAGTAGATATTTTTTTACATTTAATTGAAGAACCAATTAGATTAATACAACTGATAATGAAATACAGAGTTATTTGTGATGTTAATTTTGAACAAGGGGTCCACTGTTATTTTGAAGACGTTTTCTTGGTAAACCGACCATATCCGAGGTAGGCTATAATGTTTTGGAGGTTTTTTCGGTTTGGAAAAGTTTTCCCACTTAGATAAAATAGGAATCAATCAATCTCTTAAAGTATGTTCGAATGTTGAAAGTTAGGTAAATTCTGAATTCTACAATTACGTGCTGTAAGTGTAGGGAATGATACAATAAAACACAGAAACTTAGTTTGCCTTTCTTAACATATCCTAATTAAAGATTGTTTTTAATCAATTTTACCCAATCAAGGCAGAAGAAAGAAAGGATCACACACACAAATATATATATATGTATATATATTATTTATTTATTTATGTATGTGATTGAGTTGGAATTTGCTGTATGCAGATTAAGCAATCCATCTAATACTTAATAATAAACTTTGTACGATATAACTTACTTTCTTAATACTTGAATAATATATATTAGGACTATCGTCATTATTATCTTCTTAAAGAAATAAATGAGAAAAAAAAGAGAAATCGTAAAAAGAAGTTGATATTTTTTAAATAGATTTATGTTGGCTTGTTGTACGATGTAGAAAATTTTCAGATTATTTATAAAAGTGTTACTGCAAATAATTTTGTTCATCATTTCTTTTTAGTCTATTTTTCGTCAATTTTTTAGTCCAATGTAATTTTGCACTAGTGATATCATATTTGAAACAAAAAATGCTTTTATTTTTTGAAGGTTAATAACCACATACATTGCAGTGATGAATTTTGAGGATATTCCTGGTTTTTATGCTTGTTTGAATGAAGTTTACTTAATGAAGTTTAATTTTCTTTTAATGTTCCAACAAATTTGTTGATCTAAATCCTTTTAAAGTAAATTTTATATCTTATGCATTTTGTTGATTTTATCTCTAATAATATTGCCCAAACGATTTCTTTTTAATTTTTTAATAGAACAAAACTTTAAATTCTAAACCCAAACAAATACTAATTAAATTCGTCAATTTTCTAAACATATTTTTGTGTGATATATATATATATATATATATATATATATATATATACTTAATTCTAACATTTTTGGTTCTCTCTGTGAAACGAATTAACAAACTTCCCCCCCCCCCCCCTTTTGGCGGTTCCCCCCCCCCCCCCCCCCCCCCGTGAGAACCAAACAAATGTCACACAACCACCCCCCTCATGCCAACCATATTTTTCTCCACCTGCACACCACGTTCTAAACCCCCCCCTTAAGCCCCCTCTAACAAACATACGTAATATGACCTTTCTCAATAATTTTAAAGGCACAAGTTTCTAGCACAACTCTTTAAACCTGTTGTATTAATCCAACACTATTCAAATAATATTCATAAATAACTTTGTTTACCATTTTAAACAGGCAAAAATTAGAAAACAAATGGAAGCAATAGGTGCGCATATTTG